CCGTGGGCATCTATTTCGGTCGAATCTTTCACCACGCTGTCCTTCCCGCACCCCGGGGCCTGTCTCACTCCGAGCCCAGCACCATGCTCGGGGAATGGACAGCCGCTCGTTACTGCTTTCTATCCTCCTCATGCAATCCGCTGCCCTCGGCCTGTTCAGCGTAACTGTACAGCATCGAGTACTGTGGATGCACGGTCTCCATTACTGCATGGTCTGAGCACCTCCCAATAGTTAGCAACCGTGGCTAAGCGACTTCACCAAGGTGCCGCCAGACGTCTGAACACGGGTCACCGAGCTCCAAACCAGCACTGTAACGACTTCACCGACCTCCCTCTCCCTCTCAAGATGTATAATTATGACTGGTCTCCTGAGATTTCCTGTAGGGCTCGTCACTGTAGTATCAGTGTTTCGCCAACACTAATAGATTTAGTTTCACATTATGCCCTTGGGAAGGTGGCATTTCTGGCTTTACAGACAGGAAACGGCAGCTGGAAGAAAGGGAAGCTGAACCTGGCAAGCGTTCATTGCATCTGGATGCTGCTTACCCTGATACAGTTCGGGCCTGACTTTCCGAAGTAGCTCCTACAGGCCTCGGATTCGGTACTCCGAGAAATCAGACCTCGGAGAGCGAGGAACACACGAAGGGTGGTCACTGGGTTTCGGTGCATCACACTGAGACTCAGCAGCAGAGAGGGGATCGGTCTCTAGGGCAGCATCTCACAGCCACAACCAGATCGTCTCTTCTCCTTCAGCGATCCCCTGCTTCAGCCACAACACACCTACCGGCTTCTGCAAACACGTGAAGCAACAGCCCTCCAGAGAGCAGCCTCCTTTATTATGCAGCCCTCATTCATCCCTAGAGCAGGGACCACCCATCTGCTTGGAGTGAGGTGCAGATACAACTGTATGGGAGTCTCTAATTAGAGACTGCAGCATAATGCACCTGCATAAAAGGAGCCGAGTGATGCTGGCACAGGCACCCTTCGCTCAGGTATTTCCTAACTTCTTGGCATTTGCTATTGCAACCGAACGTACATCCTCTTGCTCTGTATAGGATCACAATATGTGTATCGGCTTGAATGTTTGAGGGCTCCTGCAACAGTCTGATGTGCAGCATTTACTCTGCCTACGATCAAAGGCTCCAACGTCGCCTTCCTCCCTAGAACGACAAGTGCCTGGAGCAGCAGGAACAGAAATGCTCTGAAGGTAACGTTCAACAAACCTGCGTCACCCCTCTGGGGAGAGAACACGCTCCACGTGAGCGAGGAGGAGTCTGCTTCGGGCCAAGCGAGCAGGGAGCTCCACGTGAAAGCAGAGTTTTTGCATAAGCGTGTCCCAACTCCAGGGGTTGGAAAACGAAGACTAGTAATTCCCAAAGGATGATGCACGCTGACAGGCTTCGACACAAGCATTTATGTGCATTAATTAATGATCGGGGCAAACTTGATTGGGACAGATTGGATTTGTGCTGCGTTTCAGCATCTGCCTGAACTCACTTGAATGAGGGAGGATAAATCAGAATCACAGACTGTGAGGGCAGGAAGGGACCTCCAGAAGTCATATCTAGTCCAACCCTTTGCTCAAAACAGGCCCAGCCCCAGCTACATCATCTCAGTCGAGGCTTTGTCTAAACAGGTCTTAAAAACCTCCAAGGATGGAGAGTCCACCACCTCTCTGGGTAGCCTGTTCCAGTGCTTCACCACCCTCCTAGTGAGAATGTTTTTCCTAGTCTCTAACTTCAACTTCCCTTGCTGCAAGTGGAGCCCATTGCTCCTTCTTCTGTCATCTGCCACCACTGAGAACAGCTCAGCTCCATCCTCTTTGCAACCCCACTTCAGGCTGCTATTGAAGGATGCCTCCACTGCTCTCATCTCCCCGCGAGTCAGCTTACAGACCCAGCTGATTCCCGAGGAAGCACATGGGATGGATGCTGCAAATCCAGAGAGGCTGCCCCAAGAACCCACGATGCATATTCATGCTGTCCTGGGGTTGTTTTGTATCAGCACCCCTTAACCTTTGGGAACTGCCACCCTTAGCAGGGTGCCAAGATGGGCACCACTTCCCCTGGCTCCACTGGGGCACTGACTTATCCCCGGAGGCCAAAAGGCGATTTTGCTAAGCACTGGGTGCTGCTTCTGCTTTGGGCAGCCACTGCTGGGGGCAGAAGCTAGGTGGGAGTCTTCAATCACACACAACATGAGCATGTCGTGCGTCAGAGGCTGTCGCAGGAACTGATGGATACAGAGGGTCCGGTGCGAGCCAGGAGGACTCCCCAAACGGGTCTGCATCTTTGAATCAACGCGATTTCCTCATTCGAAAATACATGACAGGGTAGAAGGAGCTAAGCAATAAACCAGCTTGACATGCTGGACCTTTAATGGAATTTAGTTTCTTACACCTAATTAAACGCTACTTAAATGAAAAATACTCAGAGTCCTTGGGAAAGGCGCCAGCTTGACAGCTCTGGAGGATGCAACAATTTAATCGTCCCCAGAGCGTGAACAGCGGCTGGGCAAGCTTCCCTCTGCACGCCCCTGCCTACAGGCTGCAAACCTGACCCGGAAGGAGTGTTGATAGGAACAGGGCACTCGGCTTTTATTGTTTTTGTGAGTTCTTGCCCCTTCTGTCGAGACTGCTAAAAAAGACGGCGAAGAGAGCAGCTTGCCACGGGGTTCAGGTGAAACGGAGCCTGTCCATTAGCAGTTACCAAACTCGTGTTGTCAGCTAAACTTCCACCCAACGTTGGTGACTTCCAGCCCGCTGGGACTCAGGCGAGCCGGAGCTGACAGGCTGCACAGCACCTCTCTGCATCAATCCCACCGATGACAGACGGGGCCGGAGTGCTCTGCTCCGGCCCGTGAGATGTAAACACGAGATGCTGTGTTTAGTCTGCAGGTTGGACTGTCACGGAGGTAGGACTCTGGACTGACAGGAGTCAGCAGGCGATGGTGGCTGCGTGGACTCATGGCCAGGATTTCTCAGGATCCTTCCCCAAGGGATGGGGGAAAGTCCACAGCAGGAGAGGCCCCGTTGCTCCCCAGCCCAATGGCTTATGCTGCTCTGCCGCAGACCCTCACTGTCACCGTGCTTTGCTTTCTGCCTTGGGATTTCTCCTGAGCTGGTCGGTGCCTCTGTGTCTGGGGGCTCAGCTGAGCAAAGAGGGGCTTCCTCTGTACATCTTGCCTGGAGGGCTTTGAGGGATTAAACCAGTCCTGGCAATCGAGGCCAGGGCTCTTAAGTGGCATGTCTTCCCTCCCCCCTTAGGCTGAAGCTAGAAGGACTGGGCTTAGGACCTTCTTCCTTCGCAGGCTATGGCTCACGCATGTCGAGTCTGCATCCTCAAGCACCTGCCTGTATTATGTGACGTCCTGCATCTCCCGGAGGTCCACTGCCTCTCCCCACCGCTGCTAGCTCCGATCTGAAGGACAAGGCGAAACCAGCAGGCAAGGAGCAGGTCATGGCAGATGCTCCCTAGCAGAGGAGGCAAGGTGGGGCTTGCTCCCCTGAGAAGCTTTGCCTCCCCTCCCGGGGGCAGGAAACCTTTCCTCTCTTCCCAGATGATCCAAGTTAGTCATCAGTTTCCAGGTGCAGTCACTTCAAACGCAGCTGGTTTCACAAGGGTTAATACTAGTTACATGCCTGAACGGCGGCCTAATTATTGCCATTCCCCAGCTTTCAGAGGTTATGGGACTGCTCTACACATTAATACACTTCAAGATGCAGTGCAAATGCAAACAAACTCTGTTATGCTTGGAGTTAACGCAGTCACAAGATCTTGCATGTCATGTGTTGGCAAACACAAGACCCAAGCAGCAAGTGACCCACCCTTAAACCCGACTGTGCACTGTTAATCATTAGAAGAGAGCTGGGCTTTCCAAGCCACACAGTCAAAGCGGGTAGCGTCTTCGACAATGTCACACGTGGGGTCCCACACACATCAGTTCTTTTACGAGTTGCAAAGATCTGCGTATACGGTTCCCTCCAGATTTGTGAATATGTGCAGGGTAATGCCTTGAAAACCTGCCACGGCCGGCTTAACTGTAACGCTGGAGCAACACGTTGCACCACCGGGCCTAAAATAGCAGCGCGCCTTGGAGACAGCACAGGGAAGGGAGAGATGCAGCTTGTTGCATCCAGTTCTCCTGGAAGAGGGCTTTCCTGCACAGACACAAACGTGCACCTGCTTGGCTAGAGTTAACATCAGGAACTTGCTACCTTTCACCACAGGTGGATCTAGAGCTGAGTGAGAACAACGCGTGTTGTCCCCGCTTGTCCTTGCCTGATGGCTGGCCTGAACTCCAAGTCCGTTCTGCCTCTCTGAATCCCCCCATTTCACTGTGGCAGCAGAGGAAAGGAATGAGAACAAAGAGAGCTTGTGAATGCTCTGCGAGCCTGAGATGCAAATGGCTGTTTTCTTTAAATAAATACCGTACCTTCTCACATACAACACGTCCCCAAACAAAACGTGCATGTCATTTTTGAAAGGCAGAACGAAGGAAAAAGATCTTTCCCTGTGAGCCTCTGTCGAGGAAGGGGAAAGGGGCCTGAGAGAAAGCATCCATCGCTGGCAGCTAGGGAATCCAGCATGGAGCACGTGGAGCTTCTCTTTTGCTTTTCCCTGACAGAGGCTTTAAGCATCAGAAACTTCTGTAACCATCGCTCCTCATTTATAATGTGCACCCCAATTTTCAGCAGCTGGATTTTGGGAAGAGGGGGTGTGTGCGTTATGTGAGACAATACGGTACGAGTCGAAACTGCTGAACAGTGTTTGCTTTACATTCCTTTCCTACAACTGGGAATAGTTCTGTGTTTCTAATCGCTTTTGGAGCTATTGAAGGTGCTGCCTGTTAATCATCACAAAACTTGCAACAGGATGTGTCGCCGTGCTATTTTTAGGGCAGGGAACTTTGAGGGCTTCGTAAAGGAAGAAGGTGCAAGAGGAAG